GAGGACTCAGCCTGAGTCTAGTAAAAATAGCACTCGACAATTGCGTATCTGTTTTAGTTAAGGCCTGTCCTTGCATTTGCAACACTAAGGGCCCGCTAAGAGTATAGAGTGAGATTCACTGTTGCAGTGTTGAAAGGCTGTATAGAGAAGTATGCCGTATATTGTGGCCTGGCTCGTAGCTCTACCTCTAAAAGCAGTCGACCGTCCGACGCGCACGTTACAGTTGGATCGATCAATACTAGCGTATACGCAACAGCGTGAACAGAGAAAGCCTCATGCAATCTAGCTGGCGGCCAGCTCCTCTAAAATGCTATAGGATCCGTACAACAGGTTACTTATGCCGCCAAAACTCTTCACAGCTGCATGGTGCATGTAATACCAAATCTTGGTCAAGGACAAGCGCACCACTGGCAATACGCTCCAAACTGAAAGATCGTGAATCGACCTTCAGAAGCCAATCCACAACAATCGAGAAGTGTCGCTTGTGTTCCAGACATTGACAGTGCAAGGCTTCAACAAAGACCTCTCAACAACCTCAATTTGACGGCAGCTAGACAAAATCTTGTTACAACAACCCTGGTTCCAACTTGTCTTCACTTCTGCATGATCAGCAACTGAATGAATGCTAGACTCCAAAACCTGCTGACCTTAATCAATCAACTCACTGAGGGAGGCAGGTGCGATTCAACTACTTTCGTAACCCCCGATAGAACAACTGGCGACTCCAGGAGCTGTTAAGCGTGAAACTCCGAGTCCTGCCTAAATGTGCGGCTTTCTCTGTACGATGCCATTGACTACCCTTATTGCAGGAGTCACAAGAAGCGCTGCCGCTTTCAACCATAAGCCTCAACCTAGTTTACAATCAGTACTCAAATGACGCGTCAATCCAGTCCTTTCCACAAGACCACCAGGGGAGATCTAAACTGCCCACCGTGCACGGTCGTCCTGACGCCAAACCCTCAACCTACTAGAAAACTAACACCTCGCCCAGGCTCCCATTTAAAAGCCGGCTCAACCTGTAACGTCTGCATGATGTCGTGCGTAGTGCTACAGCGTTTTGTCGCGCTCCGCTTGCATTGTACGTCCTCGCCTGGGGGTCCTTCGAATTGCCCGCTCGGAACTTCTTACTTGGGTCTAACCCCGGTTCCGCACCTTCTTCACAGTTTTCATTACCAGGCCCGCTCCCGCCACCTGCCCCACAACGGGCATTCCGAACGCCAGCATCGCCCCCCCGGCGATCAAGGCCAGGCCCAGCTTCTTGTTCCCCCCCTTTTGTTGTACCTCAGTAAAAGCCTCCCCCCCGGAGGAAGTGCCGGGCAACACCGACCTCGGACTGTCCTCCGGGGAACTGTCCGACCGGATCTTTGTGGTGATGTTTGCGAACGACGCGGCGCGCGACAGGGGCTGCCCCGCAGCACGCGCGCCCGCATACTGGCTGACGCCGGGCTCGATCTTTCTGACGGCGTTCCACATGCCCTGCTTGATCCCCAGCTTGGCGACGTCCTTTTGAATGCCCATCTCCTCCCAATGCGTCAGAATGACCTCGCACGCTGTCATGCTGCTCCCGTCCTTGGCCATCGTGGGGCGGATGCGCCAGGACGACCAGAAATCGTCCACCCGCCGCGGCTTATTCTTTTTTGGGACGCGCGAGTCGTCAATGCTCTGCAGACATGGGGGATGTACGTCAGGCACTGAATCCTTGAGAAACCTTTTGCTCTCAAATCGCTTGGCAGCGTGTTCCAGAGTGCACTTCAATCTGGAACAACTGAAGATACTGAGACCCGGAATGTTGCTGCAAGTGAGATTTGGACACCTGTCTCGGACATTTGGGGGTCAACTCAATGGTTTCAATAAGCAAACTGCTCACTAGCCCTCAAGCGAAGTGTGTTACATGCACAACAAGAGGTGCCAAGTCCAAAGAAACAGTGTGCAAAGCTGGCCTGAAGAGGGGGGCCGGTCTCATGATCAACTCTCACCTTCGTTATGCAGTAGTAGGTGCTGTTCTCTGCCTCCCATATCCTGCGCCCGAAGACGTACTCCCGGGGCTTGCAGAAGAAGGGGAACTGCAGACACGCAAGAGACTGTCAGAAATTTATCTCAGATCCCACATTGCTGAAGCTACCTGATGCAACGATGCCATGCTGGGACTGCATTGCTGGATACATTCTAAGTGGCCAGACTCCATGGAGTTCAAAAGTAAAGGGAACAACTTCAATCCATACAGCGAAAAACTCAGTCCATAAGCGGGGCGCAACTTTCTCCTAACCTGGATGTCAAAAGCTTGCAACAATACAGTGGCACCCAACCTATGCTTCACCCAGGAAACAAGAAAGGGCAATCCACACAAAGTCAGCAAGAGCCAGAAGCTATGGGGGCAGGATTGAGGTCCCCAGAGCAATGCTAATCTAGGGGAGAGGTGGCAGCACATTTTGAGACTCACTCTGCGCACCCAGCGCACGACCTGCGTCCCTGTCTGCGGGCAATCCTCAAGAATGGAAGCATCAGCCAGCATGTCATCCCATTGGGACTGCATGCGGAACTCGTCATCCCAAAAGAAGTCCCGCATCAGCTCCGGGGTGCAGTCCTCAACGACCGTCCGACTCCGGTACTGTGTTGGGCCGTTCTGCATCAAACAATGATTGCTCAGAATGAGGAAAGATGCAGCATATCTTCAGAACATTTGGGCACTACAACTCCGCCCCAAGACTTGGTTGACTGGCGCAAGGAAAAGGAGGCTAAGCTTGGACAGCCCTCTCGGCCGCAAGCTCAAAGTGCACATGCTGATCAGCTCACTCGCAGGACAGCACTGTGAATGTTGTTAGAACAAAAGAAAGGGAATCAACAAGCACAGCATTGCCCTTGCCCATATTCCTTGCCCTTGCCCAATGCAAACTGCAGAAGATCTTCTGGCCTGGCTAATCAGGCCCTCAATCAAGATGAATGAGGTCAACCAGAGCAGCAACAAGCCCAAGTCTACGGAAGGGCATGCAATTGTTGCCAACCCGACCTCTGAAAACTTGTGAAGACCAAAGCGCAGTACTGTGACCTACCTCCGTGTCGCGCCTCCAGGCGACATAAGTCATTTTTCCCGCCTCCTTCTCCATCATCTTCTGCCAGGCTGGCCCTAAGTGCTCTCCCTCAATCAATTGCCGGAAATTCTCCACATCTTCGTCGGTCACAGCACACTGCTCCCGGCGGGCCCTAGAGAGAACAGGAACATATTTGGTCAAACCATCATGCCCTCCCTGATAAATTTGCCAAATAATCAAATCCACAACAAGCTCAGAGCACCTTGCGATCGACCACAGAGGACCTTAGAAAAATACTTGCCCGAGAAAGACAGATCCTAGACATTCCCTTCAAAACAGAAACTTGCAAACTAGACAGTCAAAGTAGGAAGCAGCAGCAGGAGGACTATTCAACCAGCAAGCTTCTGCCCAACACATCCAAAATTGCATCAGGATTCACAATAAGGGCAAACCTGCAGACTTCCTTACCTCTGACTAGCGGTGTCAATCACAACATCTGCTTCCGCTGCTGGGGTGCTGTGACCCCCTCCATCTTGTGGCAGCACCCATCGGAACCACCTGCCCAACCCCGCCTGAGAAACCGCTTCGCTCTGCTGAGCCTCCACCTCATGCGCCGCCCGCGGCCACATCCACATGGAATACTTATTCCATCCTGCCCTCAGGGCTGGAAACGCTGCTAGGGCGGTCAAGGCTAACCAGACCCTCCTTGCCCCAAACCCAGGGGGCGTCGTCCACACTAGCCTAGTCCTGCTGCGCAGAGCAGAGAAGAGGGTGCTAGAAGTAACCCAGGTAGGTTTCCAGCTCCAACCCACAACCAGACCCGCAGCTAGGGAGGTCCAAACCGGGAGCAGCCAGACGAGGGCGTCGAGAAACGCGTCCACCGATGCGAGGCCCACTCGCACTCCTGAATGCTTCAGAGGGTAAGCGGACGCTGTGTCAAGAGCGAGCGCTAGGACTGTCATCTTGGCAGAGATCTTGCAGAAAAGACCTCAAAGAGGGTAAAGCTCAACACATAGCCTGAAAAGTATACGATAGACTCCGCAGTGCGCTACAGTTGTGCGCTCTCAGTGAGACTGCTGTGAATGGTTGCCCGTATCGGGGCGGGCACTGGGCAATCCTGCAAAGACTGTTCTCAAGGGCGCAAAGATGTGGCGCGAATGCCCGCTCCCCACACAAGTTTTCGATCCACTGCAGCTTGCTTGCCCGAAAGTTCCCCTTGCAGAGACTTGCGATAGGCAATCCTCCAACGTGAGCGCTGCTCTTGGAAATGGCAACGCCTGCGCCCCGCAAGGATGTCTCTCCAACGTCTTCCCAGCTTGAAAGCAAGCGCCACGAGGGCCAGCTTCGGAAGATTGCTGCATGGGGAGCTTGGAAGCTCGTCTTCCTCTTTTCGAGGATCTTCCCTCCAAGTCGTTGGGAGTTGCAGCTGGCCTAATTCAAAGGCCCTGAAAAGTGTGCAAGTTTCGGCAACAAGCAACGCGCAAAACTCTGACTGGCGAAGGAAGGGGCGTCTCAAACGCGCGGGAGGAATCATGGAACCAGAATCTATACGCGCAACGCAACCGCGAATATCTGCAGAAATAAGGACTGTTTCAAAAGCGCAGCGGTAAAGCTGTGTATACCGTTAGATCCTCAAAATGATTATCTCAACCGTTGATTGGCTGTGGATGCGAACCCTGGACCCAAGTGCCAGTTGACTGGTCCGCTTGATTTTCTTTTGTGGATAAGGGTCGATGATTGGAAGGTTGTTTCTCAGATCGGTTGTCAGAAAGTTGAGCCCTGCCTTCCGAATCTTTTCGAAGTTTGGCGCAGCCATTGGACGCCACGTGGAAAGTTCTAAAATTGAACCCGAACAGAAGCTGCCAGGTCACGACTCATCACTGAACTGTTTTGACAATAGAATAAGGGCTCTCGTTAGGGGCTTCGAAAGACCAACAGTTAACCGGGCGGTATCGGGCGATATATCAGATTCAATTGAAGTGGCCGGGACGTGCTTTGAAATGCATGATCAGGGCAAATTCTGAAGACCGATGGGAGGCAGGGCGCCTAAATCCAAACCTACCCTGCGACATCACCGTGGATTCTGAAACCCTAAACTAAACCCAAAAGGGGCAGGATTTTGTAGGGTTTTCAGCTTTCTGCTCAGGATTGAAAGGATTGCCTTGATCAAGAAAGCGGTTCAAGACTTGAGCCAATTGAGGGGAAGGGGCGGCAAACCTTCGAGCAGAGCCCAAGGCTAAAGGTTGAAGCGCTTGGAACCCATTGAAGCATCAGAACTGATAGAAGAAGCGATTGATTGTCCTGACACTGCTTTGTCATAACCCCTTGTGAGATGGGGGCTGGCCGCAGTACGTCCAACAGTACGTCCAACAGTACGTACAACTGCAGTGGTCTTGCACTTTGAGGACGGAAGCTTATGCTGAATTGTGAATCATTCGGAGGCAAGTGTCCCTCACAGTGACGGAAGAACTCGAAAGTCGACGTTGGCGATACATCAAAGTCTAGTGAGGCGCTATGGCTTCCGCTGACAGGGAGGGAGCCACCGGGCTGGGTGATCTTCCAGAAGCATGCATCTCGGCAATCCTGAGCTGCATGCAGTCTGCGCAGGACGTCCTGCGTGCCAGCTCTGTGAACTCCACTTTCGCTGCTGCCGCCGCCTCGAATGCTGTTTGGCAAGCCCTGCTTCCAGCTGGCTCTGAGGAGGCAATTGAGCGCGCGCTGTGGGACAGGCTGTCCCCTTACGATACTAATGTAGCGCATGCTTCTTCCCAGCCTCTCCAGCAGCCGGCCGTGCATCAAATTATGGGGCATCTGATTGCCGGGGTGCAGCCGGGAGGGGTGCCCGGGGGAAGGGGCAGGTTCCGGGGCAGGCCCCTCCTTCTTGTGCCCAACCCTCTCTCAGCAGCCGGACGGCGCGATGCAGATGCTAGCATCGCACCAAACAGCCGTCTGGCCAATGAGACGGTTAGTGCAGGCCAGCACGATGTGGTTGGCCCAGGCACAATTGCCGGCTCTGCGTCACAAGGGGAGGAATGGCAGGAAGCGACGGCGGATCTCGGTCCTCCAGAGACCCCAAAGAAGATGTTTCAGAGGCTTGCGAGAGGGCTGTTAGTTGGAGAGGGCGGCCTTGAAAGTTTCAGGGCTGACGTCGGCTCCGGGGGGGTCGAAAGGATGTTCTCAGTCCTGGGGGCACATATCACCTGGGGCTCAGACACACGGTACTGGCAACGAGCCCCTGAGCATGGCTCTCTTTTCGGCGCGTCGATGTTTCTGAAAAGTGTGTGCTGGCTGGAGGTGAGGTTTTTCAACATGTTGCATTCCATCCAGTCCGTGAGAAGTCCAGTAGATCTGGAACTGTATGAGAGGATCGAAATTACAAAACACCGGACCACTGTGTTCTCTCATGCTTCGATGCCCCGGTTATGTTACACATGAAAGCTCAGGGCTATTCATTGAATGTGGTTCGTTTCATTGTGTGACCCTCAGGAAGTCAATTGCATTCTTCGTGGTCTCATTGGAAGAAGACGTTGTCGAATGACAAGCATTGCCCCTGCAAAACCCACTTGCTGTTTCAAGCCCCAATCTCCTTCTCCAGGTGCGTCTTCAGCGGCGCCTGACCTTGCCTCCTGGAGACTACACCGTCCTTTGGCGTCTGGCGATTCGCCAGCCCGGCCCCTGGGTCCATCCAGTGCAATTTTCTGTGACCACCGGAGACGGTGTCATACTAACCAAACCCCAGTCGTTTGCTTATGGGGACTATCCAGTGAGGCCCGCGGACACCCACCAGTGGACTGAGCTGGAAGTGGGGGTGATCTCTGTGAGGCAAGAGGGGGAATTGGCCGACGAGGACCCAAGGGGGGGCAGTGGGAGGAGTCAAAGCAGAGGGGTGGAAGTCGAGCTGGACTGCATCATTCGGGAGATCGAAGGCGGGCATTGGAAGTCAGGTAAGTGAACTTTATGTGCTTCTGATTGAGATTCGGCAGATCGGTTGGAATTTTCCTGGTCGAATTGAGTCGCAAGTGTTGGTCTCTTTGCTAGTAGATGAAACTCGGGATTGGTTTCAAGCTTGAACGAGAACTTATGTCAACAGAGTGCTGAAGGCCATGTCTTCGGCGGGTCTCATTAATGATGGACTCCAATGGCGGTTTGTTTTAACTAACTGTTGAGAACAACCATCTAGCTCGAAGAAGACCATTGCTCAACACCTTCGAAATACAGAATTATCCAAGACGCCTCATGTGAGATTCGAAAGCGCTGTAGAGGATCCCCGTAGTACTCTTGCGGAGCTTGAATGCTACAAGCGAACCGATATTTCCCTTTGTTTTGTAGGCCTAGACCTAGATTGCTTGATCATCAGACCTAGAAGGACTCAGCAGTCGGTCCGCTCGTCTGAGGCTGGCGGACTTCGCTCTTTCACTGCCAATGCACCTGACCCTCTGGCGGAGCTGGCAGAGACGGCTGCCAACATGGGCGCCCGATTGATGAGATGGATTAGGCGACAATGATACCACACGGCTCATGTGTATCTTTAACAAGATCTTAGGTCAGGGACGTGGAAGCAACTCTGATAAGGACTATCACTAGCGGTGTACATATGATTCTTGCCTTACTCCCATTGATTGACTTGAGTGAATGTCAAATGTATCATAACTCTGAAAAGCTGTAGGACAGTGAGCCTTAATTATACAACTGTGCATATTAGCAAAACCATTCATCACTTATTTGGACATGTGGCCGTTAACTTTTAGGATCTTGCAAAACCATACACTAGCCATTCAATTAGCAAGTCAAAGTCCGTCTCTGTTATACATCCTATATAAACCATGAGCTTAGAACTCCCACCGCTCGTAAGCTGGGCCGGCTACACAGTACTCAGTTATCGCTCAAGCAATTAATCTGCATTCATTCCGTGGCCCGTGGATAATTTCGACGGACCAGATTGCAACATGTGAACCCAGTCCAGTGGCTACCACACTGATTTGAAACTGCTGAAACGTTAGCACATGGTTACTTAATTAGGCGGGAGTCGGATCATAAACCATGTTGGATCGTCAGCAACATGATCATACTACTTCACTGACATGTGTGCCATATCTGCATGCCACATGTATTTGGTATACTACTAAAGCTTTGAATGTGTGAGGCCCTAGCTTGTATATCGCGACAGGCTCGACAACTTGAAGTCATGTCTGTATATAGGTACGTGCGCTGCCTTGTATGGATATACAATTTTTAGGCGGCGCATGCATATGTGACTCAGTCATCTGTATATATAGAGTAACTTAGTCTCATGCAATTAGGGTACCGTCACTTTGTAGTGGCACCCGGTTACAGGTATTTTGGAGGCACTTTGGCGTAAGGGTCTCAAGCCCCCCCCCCCTCCCGGCCTTGTCGTCATTGGCAAGGTCAAGGTCCCAGTCCGGTGGACCATGCTAACCGGGCAAAACTATGGTTAAAAAACACAATCATATACATGAATTCAGCCCCATTTTGGTGCTGAAAAGGACATATTTCTGTCTTGTTCGTGTGCTGGACAGTCTGAACATTGAATTCAAAATGAGGGGGAATCTGCATGAAAAAGCATGCTTCTCACTTGAAACCTGGTTGGAGCTTTGCCCCAAGCAAAAGGCCTCAGGCTCAAGCCTCCCCCCCTGCTAGCCGGGGGGGAGCAAAGGTGGGGAGCTCCCCACCTTTGCTTGGCTGATCCGAACCAAGCCCCCCCCAACAGAATACCTAATTAAGGGGGTGCCACTTCAAAGTGACGGTACCCTTATAGTCTTTACACGAATCACAGACTCGCTAGAAAGCTATTGTCTATATATATAATTGAATGCACTTACATATTCTAGCTCATGCAACCGTCACGGTCTAATGGATTAGTGTACACGGTAAGAGCCTATATAGATAAAGCCTACCGTACTACTGAGGATATGGAAGACGGTTGGGCCTACGTACATGATGCGACGGGCGCGGCCCGGAACTTAGGTCATCACAACTTAATATCGATGATGCATACCGCTCAGTGCAGCTTAACAATCAGCGGCCGGCCTTTGGGGATAGATCATGTTCTGCTGCACCACAGCGCATCAATAGCATTCAATTGAAAGAACAGTGACACTGACTCCGTGAATATATTACGCTCAAATGACGATCCAAGATTGAATCATGCGATGCCACAATGCCTCGAAAATAAAACCAGGTAATTGTTCACTTAGCTTGCACTCACACTCTTTCCTATAAATGTACTGACTCCTGTCACAAGCCTAGCCGGGTGCGACAAGTACTAGATATACGCAGCGACGTAATCCCTTTCACACCAGCATTGTTGTAAGCTCTGGCGAGTCATCAAATGTCTGGAACCCTTATGTATACCAGCTCGGTAAATCTAGAAGCTCTGCACCATGCACGATTGCACCACAAGTGTACAACTGCAGAAGGTTTACCTGTCCTGAGGTTGAAAGACCTGGTCTTTAAATTTAGAAACCCGGTGCCTATGCCACAAAATGTAGATAGAAATACGCAGTTACTTACTCCTCATGCCTAGATCAGCCTGCCATTCCCAGCACTGCCTTAAGGATTACTGTATGTCAAGATATAGAGCCATCAAAGATGCAGCCACCACTATTCACAAACAGATGTGCCCTTTGGTACAAAGCATGGTTGGTATTGGAAGCAGCTCGCTTTAACAGATCGAAGCAGTCGATCAAGTCCCAAACATTACACTCCCTTGCGTGTCCCGCCATTTTCACACTAAACGTCCATCTGCTAGTCACTACCAGTTGCGTGGATGACGCCCTCTTCAAGAGTAAGCGGCTCATCGCTGTTCACTAATGCTGAGCTCTATTGCTCGCTCGAGCAGAAGCTGCAGCTGGCCCACGTCTCTTATCTGCATTCACAGGGTAACATCAGGAACACATGCTAACTGCTCTCTTTGAATGAAACGATATTTCCGACGAGTCTCAGTATATTCAAGACATAATAGCTTTTGCACGCACGCAAAAGAAAACCTGCTGTCCGTAAGTCAGCAAAGAACGTGTAAGAAGAGTCTGCTTCCCGTTGGCTTACTCCAAGCCGTTCTCAAAGCAGGGGAACAGGCCAAGATGAACCGCTTCTTTTGGGCTTCCCAAACACACACTCTCGAGGGTCAGCAAAACCCGTCTTGAGTACGCAACCTTACAAAATTCCACATCAGCTTATGATGTACTGGCAACCAAGCCTTACAGCTCTTTGTCGCGGACACAAGCTTGCACACAGAGCAGGCGTCGCAGAGGCAGAGTAGGAGAGACCGCCAAAGACACTGAACTGGCTGCGAGATTAGGGACACTCCCGACAACATCCGCCCGATGAGGGGACTCACATAAGGGCCGCGGAGAAGTTCGAGGACGGCCTGCGCAGCCGCTGCGTCCATGAGCAGGCTGCGGTTGCGGCGCTGCAGTTGTTGCAGCATGGACTGGCTCGTGATGAGCTGCATCTGGAGGCCCGCCGCCTCGCCAGCCGCCTCAGCCGAGGCCTGGTGAAGCTCCTCCATCTGCACGGGGAGCAACAACAGTAGCGTGAGGCACCCAGATAAGAGCAAGTAACAACGTTCAAACGAAAGCGAAAACGGGGCAGCAACGCCGGATTCTTGAGAACTACCTCGAGCTGTCTTTGAGATGATAATTCGCCCTCGACTAAGAAAGACCGAACGCATAATGCACCAGCAAACGACGACTGAGTGGTCATGAAATGAGTTGCGGCGTGAGGAGGACGGAGTTAAAAGCTTGTTGCGATGAATCCTTTAAAAAGGGCGCCTCCTACTGCTTGCATCCTACAACACAAGGGTGGGACTTTCACCCAAACAAGACGGACAGCAAACAAACTCTCCGTGTTCACTTTGAGAAACAATGTGCATTCAAGATCTGCACTGCGCTGTGATCACCACGCCCTACATCAGGACTGGCTGCGGAAAGCCCCGGATCTTGGACGTCACTTTCCGGCAAAGCTGGAACAGCGAGCGCTTTGTGCGAAACCACCTCTTAGTCCTCGTACTTTTCAAATGGATGCGAAGTCGGAGCCGGAGACGGACAGAAAATGGCTTCCGGGAGGGATCTGGACACCACCATCATGCCGCCGTTCTGTTTCTCCAGGACTCTTACCTTGGCGTTCTTGTGCGAGATGTCGCGGAGCCGGCGCGCCATGACGTCCACCTCCTCCCGCTTCTGCTCCAGCTCCTTCTTCATCGCCTCGCGCTCCGAGGCGGCCGCCTGGAGCGCCTTCTCGATCGCGACGACGCCCGACTCGTTCCCGCCCCGCTCCAGGCCCAGCACGCGCACCATGGCGGACAGCGCCTGGCTCTCGCTCGCGCTCGTCTTGTCGTCCGCATTCGACTTCTTCAGCCGCGCTTCAGCCCTGTGGAAGCGTTACGCGGGCGTCAGGAAGGAGGCTCTAGGGCAAGGATCTTCCGCTGTGCCTGATAAAAGCGACAGCGCTTGCAAGAGACTGTCCCTTAGCTGATAAATAGATGTGATAGAGATTCAGAAAAGCAACAGCGGTGCTCACAGCTGATCTCTATCATCTTACCGGATCTTTTGGAATAAATGTTCCTTGCACAAGAAAACAAGCAGGAATCACCACGGCACCGGGAATCCCACCACTCCGGTCCATTGTGGGGGCTTCGCAATCTCTGAGATCTAGGACCAGACCAGAGCCGCGAATCAAGATCCGGTCAGTCCGAGAGCGCTCGATGCCTGCTCACTTGTCCGCGCGGTGCTTCTGCTCCGCGATAGCCTGTTCCAGCTCGCCGACCCTCTCCGCCGCCTTGAGCAGGTCCCGCAGCCGCTCCTCGTCCCTAGGCCCCCCCAGCTCCCCCCCAACTCGGCTCACCAGCGCCTCTAAATCCGGAGCCCCTAATGCCAGCGCGCCCTCTCCTTCCGCCCCCTTCCCCTCCCCGCTCGTTTTCTCCCCCTCGGGACCTTTATTTCGATCCACTCTGTCCCCGTCCACGCTATTCGTTTTGCCCAGCTTCCGGTTGGCGATCGGGACGTCTTCCCGGGAGTTGTCGTCGGTCTCGGCCGGCTTGCCGGGGGCTCCCTCCGGCCGTACCCACGGTTTCTGGGGATCCGCGGCGGGGGAGCCCACGTCGGGCGGGGCGCCCTGGAGGCGCTTGAGCTTGCGCTGTAGGGAGGCGTTCTCGGCCTCCAGGGTGCGCACTTTCCCCTCAAGGGAGTCGAACTGTTGATGCCGCTTGATCATGATGCGCACCTGGAGGAGGTGCAAGAAGTCGCTACCTTGATTCAAGGTGTGCTTGACAAGGAGAAGCCTTTAGCTGAGGTGGCAAGTGAGACACTGCAAGTGATGAGTTGCTGATAACTGGCATAGCTGGAAGTGTGTCAACGACCGAGGAACAACCACCTTCGTCGCTGATGCACAAGTGTTGGGATCGTACAATCCAATCATAAGAACCAAGAGGGCGACAAGCCCGCTGAAATGTGCAAGCCAGCGCTTCTCTTGCAGAGCCCAGCAGCAGCCATAAAACACGATCGATTGGCAGCCCGTCAAATCCGTGACATGTCCAAGTGCGTACTTCGAGGTGGCCAGGAGAAAGGGAATCAAAGCACAAAAACAACCGAAACTCGCGCCTCTCCTAGTGTCAGGAGCCAGCAGGAGCGAAACAGCGGGTTGCAATGATGCTTGAATGTGTAGGAAAGCCTGCAATACCAAACTCTACCTAGTCTAAAAGTGTCAAAGCGAGCAGCCCTATCGACCCAGCCGAGCCCAACCAATCCTGCGAACGGGTGTGCCTACCTCACATTGGAACCAGTACCGCACTCTCACCTTCTCGACAGAGCCAATGTTGGCTTCGCGCAGGAGCTCGAGCATGCGCTGCACCTTGGAGTGCTGCACGTAGCTGGCCTGCAGGTCCTTGCTCAAGTCCTCCACCTCGCGCGTCTTGTTGTCCAGCTGCTTCTGCAGCTTCTCCTCCTCCCAGTCCTTGCCCTTACGCTTGTCCTTCACGGCGTCCGCCAGCTGGAGGGCACAACGCCAGCAACGACAGTCAGGCACAAGAAGAGGGCATGAGGCATTTGCAACCACTTGTTCGATCATTATCAATATTCTCCATCCTTCGCACAGAAGAATTGGCTTTACAAAGACCTTGTACAAGGAAAAAAGAACAGACGAAGAAAGTCCAGCACTGAGAGTTGCGCGGCTCGACTGCGTCTTGTGTAAGAACCTTGTGTCAGGTTTCACCAAAGAGCAACTTGCAGACCTAACATCCCACTCTGGTGGTAGCTCTGTACTGCAGTGATGCAGCTTGAAAACAATCTCTCTAATGCCGCACTTCGAAGATGTTTTGCCACTCTGTCCATTATCCAGTCTTTCGCTCGAACCAGCCACAGAAACTGCGCACGAGCGACGCAGACGCAGAAAGACCCGTGATGGTTTCAAACCAAACCCGGGTTTGTGCTCTGCCTCACCTCGTGCCTGAGCCCCGCATTTTCCCGCTCCAGATTGGCCAGCACGGCCTCCAGCTCGCGCAAGCGCAGCAGCCCCGTGTCATGCGCCTTGCTCGGGGCCTCTCCCGGGTGCTGCCCGCTGCGTTGGTGAGCTAGCTCCTTGATGCTCTGCTGCAGCGCGGCTTCGAGGCTCTCCACCAGGCGCGCCTTCTGCAGCTCCACCTTGAGCTTGTCGATCGTCTTCACGTTGAACTCTTTGGCGACCTCCAGGATGGACCGGGCCGCCTGCGATGGGAACGCGGGGGTCGGTCGGGATCCAGCCATTACAGAGAAGGACAGGGGGGGGATTGCGCGTACCCTTCTTATGTAGTCGAGTCTGCCAGCATGCCTCTATCGCTTCCGAGGTGAAGAGGCACAACAAGGGTAACAAGCAACATAGGGTATTTGATCAGCTTTGACTTGAGGTTGTGGAGAGGAGAGGACTTAGCAAAAGAAGCTCAACTGAGCGGGGCCATGCCCGCATCTAGACGACCTTGGCAGCAAATACTCGCATACTCCATTTAGACAAGAAAAGCCCCACTTCGAAGACCAGAGTCTACTTGCAGAGCTCGAGTTTACCGCCCTTGGACAGACGGTCAAGTAGATGCCCTGGGATTGATCACAGCTCCGTCGCCTATTGTTGAGTACTCAACGGCTGTCACCTAAAGAAGCCTCGAAAGAGTAACACGAGTCTTCCACTTGCCTGCGCCTCTGCAGCCTCGATCACCGGGGGCGACACTGGATCAGCTGCTGTCTGTAGCTGCTTCTGCAGAGCCGCAATGGACTCCTCCTGTGCATTCAGCAGCCGCATTGCCTCCGCCACCTGCGCATGCAGCTCCCCATTCTCCCGCCGCAATTGCACCGTCTCCGCCTCCTTCAGCTTCTTCTCCTCCTGCAGAGTCGAAAGTGATGCGTTGATGTCACCATCCGATGCACACTGGCTCCTCTACTAGCTGGTCTTGCTCTGATAGTCTCCTTGAAAGCAACAACATGTTGCAACTCAGCAGCTCTTGGCCTCTGATAGCAAGAACTGCAGTCCCGGCTAACACTACGTCTTTGCATCATAGTCTACACAAATCATTTTCCAACCTACTTAGATTGTTTTCCAACCTACTTAGATTGATGGCCCGCTTTCTCGCAAGTCCAATAACAGGGACAGTCAAAAGCAGCAATCAACCTTGGTCTTGTCAGAGCATGGGGGCACCTTGTTACACTGGTTGTCATCTCTGGCTTCCGGGGTGAGCTAAAACGATCACTTTCCCCAACCCCAACATCTTGCATCTCACACGAATCCATAGATACTCTAAAGCTCTGCACGATGCTGCCGAATGCAGATCATAGGATCAGACACCTACTTGCAGGTGCTCCGTTGCCTGCTTCAGCTGCTCGACAATGCTCGCCGCCGCAGTGATGCGCGAGTCCTTCTCTGCACTTTGCCGCCGCAGCTCGCCTTCCACTGCGTGCACCACCTCCAGCGCTTCCCTTAGCTGCCGCACCTCGTTTTTCAGCTCGCTGTCGCTGTGGGATCCCTCCCCCTCTGTGCCTTTCCGAGCTGCCTCTAGTTGCGCCGCCAGCTCTGTGTGTGCTGCGTCCTTTTTGCTAATGATACTCTCCAGGGTGGCAATGCGCACTTCTTGTTTCTCAGCATCTGCGCGCGCAGCCTTGACTGTCGTCTGGAGCGCTGTGTTTTCGGCAGTCACCTCTGCTAGCTTCTTTTCCAGTTCTGCGACCGTGGCCGCCAGAGCGGCTGGGGGGGCATTCCTGCAACAATTTGAGAGGCTTCAGACGCCAAAAATTTGTCCCTTCAGGGTTGAGGAATGATATACAACTGAGAAGCTGCTCAAAGATGCATTGATCTGGTGAGTTGTTGCCACTGTGAGTCTTGAAAGTGGAAGTCAGGCAGGCTGTCAGACAGCTGCTTTTCAGCCCTTGAATAATTGCGCGCACACAATGGGAGATTACGTGATTGGCTGACCGCCGTTGTCCTGCGATCGAGATCGCTGGTCTTAGATGAGCGGAACGGGACAGCATGACTGCAAAGAAGCAGAATTTGGGTTCCCAGTTGGAGCCAAAGGGAAACGGTGGCAGGGTGTTGATGCAGCACCTCCCAGCGGATGAGTCTCGAGGAGCATCTTCAGGCCTCAGAAGGCTTAATGAAGTTTGAACAGAGGATGCCGTCTAACCGCAGGGCTTCCAGCAGGGAAGAAGGGCCTCCACATCCACAATGTCTGTCTGACATGCCTTTTGAACTGAATCTATGGCCCCTAGTCAGTGTGCAACACCATGCCTGGCAAAGCTCCAAACCAGAGGAATAAACCAGATTCTACCCGTCAAAGGATGGTCAAAAGTGGAGAACCAGGCAGAAAGACACACAAACAGTGTGCATGCTGCAAGAAGCTTTGCAAAGCCAGCAATGCAAACCAAGCTGCAAGTACATGGACACTGCAGCACCACATACTGTAGACTCGCTTCTAAAGACAAGTTCTAAATTGTAGGTCTAAGGGGCTTAAGAGCCTCTGTAAAATGACAGGGCTGGCTGGGGCCAAGTCCATCTCAACAAAGTTAACATCGGAGATCGCATGGTGACACTAATCATTCGTGTTCTCTAGCGTCTAAATCTGCAATCAGGAAACATTGGCTGCAGACTATTGCTTCACAGACAGGCCAAAGCGTGCTCAAAAAGCGAACCGTTCCGGAAGCGTGGCAGAAGGTCTAGATCAAGGGGGCAATCTCACTTAAGCTGTCCAGATTATCTGCAAAAGTGACCACCTCAATCTGGTGATCTGCGTGGCATTGTAGCAGAGCTTCTGATTGCATTCTTCACCAAATCAGCATCCAAACCACTTTGGTGCTTGCAGCTCCCAGGCAGACATAAACTTCCTGCTTGACAAGGTTCCTCACCCTGACGGGCCTCTCGGGGTCATTGGTGGCAAAGCCTGAGCTGCATCAGGCATCGGGGTCCTCGGTGGCAAAGCCTGGGTTGCATCAGGTCTCGCTGTCGCCCCAGTCTGCTGCTGGATGGCTTGCAATTCTGTGCGCAGCTTTCCGATCTCCTCCTCCTTTTGGATGACCTGGACAGGAAAGCACAGATCCGGAAAGTGGTCAAGTGCTAGGACTGCAGACTATCAAGGTGTCTGCGGCAGCCAGGTTCTGTGAGGATGGGGAAGCGGGTGCCACTGCCCGCAACAGAACGCACTGGCCAAGATAGGAGAAAGGGGCGCGATATGCGGCCAGATTCTCCTTAGCAGCATGAGAATGCAGACCCACTCGGATTTCATCAATTAGCAAGTCTTTTTCAACACAAAATTCAGAAAGGTCTTCCCCGGCGCAGATTCCAACAGGATGTACATAAGCTGCAAACGATGGACATTGTCTGCACATACACTTAGTGAGGGTCCCTCTCAGCAGCTCCCAGTATCTCTGGAGTGGAAGCACTGCTCACCAGCTTGGCAAGCGCCTCGTCCCCTCGAGCGGCCACGCCCTCCGCCGCGCCGTCGACCTCCTCTCCCTTCTCTTTACTCCCTTGCCCGCTCCCGCTGCTGGCCGGTTTGTCATCCTTGGCCCCTGGGGCGCTTGCGCCCTCTACAGGCTTCTGGCTTTCCTGGCCGGCCTGCTTATACTCACTCACCGGCGTCTCCTCCCCTGTTTGCAACAAAGAAGCGAGCCCCTGTCCTCCGGCAGCACCCCCCGGAGCTACTACATTGGAGAACACCCCCTGACTCCACACTGATGGTGACACGATGCCGTGGCCAAAAGTGCTGGCTGTGCTCGCGGGCATGGAACCCGCCGCTGGGATCCCACCCTGCTTCCGGCGCACCTCAACAGGGGGGATAGAAGCCGGTGTCGCAATCCTGTGCTTCTTTTTCTTATACCGATTCAACCGCTGCTGGCTGGCCTCCACAGACTCAGAAAACTTTGTTTTTTGCACTGGCTTGCCGCTATCAAACAGGTGAGCCTCCAGCTCGTGCACCAGCTCAAGCAGCTGTCCATTCATCTTGAGAATATCAGCAGGTTCTACTGCGTCTGCTTCCTCCGCTGTCTGCCCCCCTCCTTCAAGGAGATTCCCATTGGAACCGACCGACTTAATCTGGCCACCACTGCTGCCAGGCAGGGCACTTTCGTCCTTGTCACTTATCTCAGCCCGCTTCAGGCTGGGTTGCTCGCCAGGATCACTCTCCTCTGGTTTCCGCTTCTTGCTGGAGGTCATGCCGACATCACCAGCAGAGGAGTCTGCAAGACAGGGTGGTGCAGAGGCTTTTGACCCCAGAATGCGAAAACGAATCGATCAAGCCCGAAAATCGTGATGCTAGGAGGCTTTCACGATGGAGCAAAAGCTGCTACAAGTTGCTCAACATTGTTGACTAGGCCAATCATCTGCCCGTACTAGGTGCAAGGTAGCTCCTAATCGCAGGTGCTTGCACTCCGATCACCCAGCTAGGCAAACCAGACCAGACTCTCTGTTTCCATCCTTGAGCGCCAGAATCAAAACCTTTATCAGAAACAGCAAACTCTCAAGAAATTGCTGATTAAGGTGCGGCTCCGTCGCCCTCGTTGCAAGAAAGACGTGGCTGCCAGTTCTTCCTTTAGAGTTGACCAATGAAGACAGCCACAAGCGAAATAAATCCGCCTCCATCCTGCAGCGCCTCTCATGTTTTGACAACACCTCTCTTGAGTAAGCAATCAAGGAGACGGACTGCCTGAACTAGCCAGCCTACTGAGCAAGACTTATAGTGGAAACCCCACATTGACGGCATATGCGGCCATGTCCATTCAGCTCTCCTGCTTGATTTCCACATCAAATTTGGGACTGAACGATGTGATGCATTGCACCGACTAGCTCCTTCCATTCTCTCCATCATACGGAGATGTCTAAACTCTCGACAAAGAAGCCCTTGTAAGCTAGGTATTGCGAGATACAAGAGAAGCTGAACCACCTGCATTTCAATTCCTGTGAGGATTCAAACTGGAGCTGTGCGATTCCAGGGACACTCCAATGGTAATGACACTCTACGATGACAAGCCTCCTCCATCGAGCCATGATTCTCAGCCACTCGGCAAATTCTTCTTGAACGAACCAGGTGATTACCACCCCTCTGGGGCGGCAAAAGATTGTTCGTCAGCTGCGCCATTCGTCGGGTCACAGTGAGGTGATGGAGAATGAGAAGAAGTGGAAAACATTCTTGATGCTCGTTAAATCCACTGGTTAGCAGTATGACCTGGTTCTGAGGAAGCTCCCTCTGAGCCAATCTGTTCAAACAGGCAATTTCCTAAAAGTGGGGCATAAAGGAGGGCTGCTCACCCATCCCTCCTTGCTGACATTCCACAACAACCTCCTCCATAATCGGTGCGTGCCTCAGAAAAAGCAGAGCTCAGGGTCAAACTTTCCTGTGCTCACCCTGAAACCTTCCACTCTTGAACTACACTTACTTGATTTGCAAGAATGGCATGGGCCCGGTCAAAGGGCTCTTACGGTTCGGCGACCGCATCCGCGGTGCTTCGGACTATCTCAGCTGCTTTGCAACACGCAGCGGGGCCATAAAGATCAACTAAAGATAGATCCACCGTAGTGGCCGCAAGAAGCAACCACACTGCGCCATCACCCGCCAATCATCTGGCTTGGCATCTCGGGAGAATGACAACCATTCTGGGAGTCGATGGTAGGTCAGAAAGTTCATGCCACTTTTGCCAGACCACCGACATCATGGTGCGCAGAACTGAATGGTGAACCTTTTGAATGAAATGATGTGGTCCAACGACTGGCATGGACCCAGGTGGAGGAGGACGCCTTGTCACATTCGCCACGGCCTTGCTTTTGACAAAAGTTTTGTCAAAACCGTGCCAGGCGCGAGGCACCATGTACGGTACGTGCATGTGAACGACAGGTATCATCATCATGAATCATTACATGATGTCCTCGTGCTGGGTACCGGAAAACCGGACCTCGGAAGACATGTGAATAGGCTTCGATAAGTGGACCGGGGACCCGTCGCCGGGCCATCTGCAGGCTCTTGCAAAGTAGATTCGGTACGGGCTACGGCCCACGCGCTTCAAAAACGTCCAATTAGAGCATCTCACGGCTCAGATTGGTTTTAAAATTCGTTGCGGGTCCCGCAAGAAAAGTTAAAAGACACCTGCTCACGCAAGGCCCAGGTTAAGCTGCACGTTAATTATCGGATTTAGCCCAGAGAATCGCTCCGGAGCAGAAACTCATGGCATGTCTGTCCGAACTTCGAAGCGCTGTACCTGGCCACATGACTCCACTGACATCGACGACAGACGGTCCATCAGTTGGGTTCGAAGCTTTCTGTGTTCACCATCGATGTTTAGCAAACGGATTTCGGACGCAGTAGGTATGCGAATCGCGATCATGTCCCCGGAACCTGGACCGGGTTTCAGAGTTGGTTTGCCTGCACGGTTTGTTACGGTAGATTGTGACCGGCCGAGACTGCTCTTGTAGCCTGGCTACGTATCAACCGTTGGATGTTGACAATTCTACTCGTCAAAATGGATCTCATGGTCAGAGCTCATGGTTGAAGATTGGCGACCGTGACTTTGACAGAACCCGCGGAAGGAGAACGTGTACCAAATTCGGACTTTTTGAGACCCCCACCGGTTTGTACCCAGGACCGCGCAAAGTATGTAGCTCCTCCCGGCTGTACTGGGGCCAGCAGGGGACCAGCACTCGCTCCCCGGTGCCTCCCACAGACCACAGCGGTTAGCGGTTCAGGTACACTGTACCGGGTACGAACTTTAGCAAGTTCAGGACCCCGGACTCACCGACCCGGGCCCCGCGCGCGGTCGACAGGGTACTAAAGCTTGGGAGGGTCCAAAACGTGCGAATTTGGTCCACGTTCTCCTTCCACGCATTCTGACAACCGCGAGCAGGAACACTGTCCACCACTCCGAGTTGTTTGACTGGGTACCGGTACCTTGTTTCAAGTTTCAACTGGGAGCCTGGAGTTGCTACAGCTAGCTGAGGACCGGTGGTACAGAATATCGACAGAGTGCAGCTGCCCCCCGGGGCCCGGCAAACGTCAGTCGGGACTCGGATCGATATGGAGCTTGCCGACTGCGAGTCCCCACTGTCCAGTCTCGACTCTCGACTATCAAGTCTCGACCCCGGTTAACGCCATTGTGTGTGACCCGTTCGATAAATCGATCCTTGAGATTCAACACTGATCCGTGTTTACTGGCAGTGGAAGAGCGTATATTACGGTATAATGCTTTCAACAGTGTCAACAACAGACACCTCTGTGAATCTTCTGAGCCAAGTTACTGTAGACCTACGGTCTACCTACTAGCTGTACGTTTCCTGCGGCGTGCTATCATGCATCCTGCGGCAAGATTATAATGGATTTTCCCCGACACCCCTGCCACTGGCCCAACCGACCCCGTGAATGATGCAAACGGTACCGATGTCAAATGGTACCCATGGGTGTCAGGGTACCGTCGTTCATGGTAGGTACCTCGCTGAGTTCGTCCAACTACGGTACGGTACCCGCCTGGGTTTTAACGGATTACCGGTATGCTAGGTACAGGTACCGCTTTCCGGAGATCTCCTACGTGGAAGATCTGACACATGTAAATCATGAGCATCGATCAGCCTTTTGTGCCGCGGATCAGAATCCAGATCATCGAGAATCGTCAGGACTCAGCGGTTTGAATAAACCTGATGCGAATGTCAACAGGCCCGGGCCGGCCGGGAACTTGGTTGAAGGGCCAGGTGGGGGCCCGCGGGGCCGGCGGGTGCCGGGTTGCCTCAAGGGGGTTGCGTCCCGGTTGACCAAGTCCCTAGGGCCTCATTGCTCAATACTATTTGTCCCGGGGTGCCGGGGTGCCGGGGTGCCACCACGGTACCTGGGTACCTACGTCAATTCCATTCACAAACAGTAGCTAGGTTGAAATGAAATGGCAAGCTCGAGCCTCGTACCCGTACCTACCGTAGGTACCTACCTTGAGATTCCGTGCACTCTTGAGAGATGTACGGACCACGGTATGATAAGTAATATCGGGATAATGGATTTACCCTGTATACCGGGCCCCGGGGTCCGATAATCGTTTAGGTATTACCGGTACCTATAATTGACGGTTACGTTCTTACACGTGTGACTGATTTATAATGGGTCCGGTGACCGGTCCTCAGAAGCTGAAGGTAAATTTCAATTAACTTTTAAATAAGTGCGTGCCCAAAATCCCGGATGCTCGGCCCGGTTGAACCTCAGAACTCGCAGTCTCGGGAGTGTGATGGTAGCGAGGCCACACTGCATACTCAGCACACTGACACTGCAAAGCGCAGCGCTGAGCGCAGCCCAATCATTCCGAGTCTCCATTGAAGTTTGAACTCTCTCTAGAAATGTCAAACCGTAGTCCACGGACCGCTATATACCGGTGGTAATAGATACATCTCCTCGACTAAGGACAGTGCTCGGGGGGACAAAAAGATAACCAACATCCTAAACCCGGAATTGACACGCTCGGCAACCGTATCACCACCCTAACCCCTAAAACTACCCATCCCCCGGGCGCCTTCCTTCCAACCCCGACCTGTCAACCTAGCCGGTTGATGGGTCGGGGAATTCCGAATTGGGGTATTAAAGGAATACTACGATACATGCATGGGACAGGAATCAGGATACCTACCGTCGGCGTAGGTACTAGCCTCAGGAGGATTGCAATAGCCCAATGAACTTATGAAGGGCTGCTGACTTGCTTCATCATTGAATGATTCATGCAGAGGTCCGTGCAGTGGCGGCAGCGCCAGAATGTTCTGTCCTGGCGACCCTGTCCCAGGAGACACTCTTGTGACTGGGGCAGTCAAAATCCTTTGCACTGAAGATCCTCATTTAAAGGCGCAGCGGGGAGCCAATCTGGTACATCTTTGGCGGTCTGGTGCAATCGTTGTCCCGTACGATGCTCATAATGTGGCCTCCAACGTGCCGGACAAACCTGCAAGAGATACCACCGTGAGGACCATAGTGGGTTTGAGAGCGTATCGAGGACCATGCTGATTGGAAGTTCCATGTTGAGCTGACTTTGCACTCGTGGAGAGCATCTTCTCTAATCTCAGATAGAGCTCCTGTTGCGGCCACTGCCGTGGAGTGCCATTGCTTGCAAGCTTTGTCGACCTGTGCTGTCCCGCGATTAGTTTGCACAGAGCGACCTGAACCATTTAGCTGCAAGGGAGTGATGCCCGCGTGCACCCTCTTCCAACTGGATCACTCCTGATCACTGTCTGACCGCCACTGAGACTGCATTCCTGTGGGGAATCGATTTTTCTTGCAGGTTAACCACTGGTCCATCTTTCACTTTCAAGTTTTGCGCCACAGATTGCTGATATCACAGATCACAACTCGCATTCTTCCAGGTACGGATTCTGGCTCCGGGGGAAGGCCCCAAACGCGGCAGGGGGGGCAGCCTGAGCAGCCGGCAGGCCCTCCTGCACAGCCTGGTCCACATCGAGGTAACCATATCCACCGATATTGCACCAATCGTTCGCGCGCGTCGCACCCGGGTTGACGACAATCATGGGAGCTTTCAAATTCTGACGAGGATCTCATTGCACTTTGACTAGAGCAAGACACTAGACTGCTCTTTATCCGATGCTTGGACAAGACGTTACAGAGCACACTATTGTAACCTGGAACCACTTATAAGACCTGAGGGTTGTGTGCCTCCATGTACAGAGCTGGGCGGTGGACCTGTCCTGGGACATCATTGCCCGCTTCGGGCCCGCTTGCGCAATGCCCCGCGAGTTCTTCGACGAGTTTGTCAAGGTGGCCGACGATGAGGGCCGTCACTTCCAGGCGCTAGAAAGGCGGCTGCGAGACATTGGGTCATCCTACGGTGCTGTGAGTCTTGCTAATTGAAAAGAGCAATATTTCCTACCTGCCCATCATATTGAGTTAAGTTTTCTCAGTCAGAGCCAGAGCTTGGCGTTGTAGTGGCCTTCTGCTAACTTCGGCACTCAGCAACACTGAGACATCTTTATTTGGGCTCCTTGTGATACTGTGGTTATCTTCTAGCCCGCTTCATCAGGCCCCGTTTGCCCCCTGTTGTGGTGGACAGAGGGCATCAGACACTAAAAAGACCGCACAGGCTGCTTCGTCTGCATTCTGTTGAACCCCTCCTGGCCTCAACAATTCACTCAGTCCATATCTTGGCAGGCAGTTCCCAGCGCATGATGGGCTGTGGGAGTCGGCGTCAGGAACGGCGGGCGACCTGCTGGCCAGGCTGGCGGTCGAGCACTGCGTTCACGAGGTCAGCCTGACAAACATGAAGCCTGTTCTCCAAATACCTCTTTTTAGGCGGACATCAATCGAAAGTGCCACTGTGACGAGTCTACTCAACGTGCTGACAATTGACTCTGCGAATCGTCAAGTTGATTTCAGTTTCTGCCTGGTACAGCACCTTGAGATGCTGCAAGGGTTGGTTGTATGACCTTGCATCTTAAGCATGTCCAAAGAAGTGGGCAGCTTAAAAACGGATCACTCATGTCTCGGCCGTCTCAGTGGGCCGATGAGTCGATTGATCCGAGAATAGTTAACGAAAAATGCTGAGAGGTGCACTTTTGTCCGTTGGGTCCGCGTGTCCAAGTATGCCATTGTTCAGAGAATCGTTCGTGTACATTCTCGTTGAACGTGCTTGGTAGATAAGCAAAGAGCTCATTTGCAATCCTGTAGATTTGTATCTGATCAAAGCACTGTCTCGCTCCTGCAGGCCCGCGGCCTAGACGTGGTCCCTCAGACGATTGCCCGCTTTCGGTCTGGCGGCGATCCGGAGACAGCGGACCTGCTGGAGAAGACAATCTACCCGGTGCGTTTGCTTTTGCACAGTCCCTGAACTTTCACATTTCCGCATCTTTGCGCTTCTGCGTGTCCCGCTACTCGTTCGTCGACCGGGGGACGTTCGTCGGAAAGCTCACGTGAGCCTGGTTCAACGGTCATATCAACAGCGCTTTTTGGGAGCAAGCCTTTTGCAGCCGGTCTGCCTTCATATAAGAGGATGACGCCTGCGATATCTGCTCACTCGTGCATTTCGAGCGGTGCGGCCATCCTAGCCCCTCCTCATTCTTGGGGTTCGACTCTGGGGTTCTCGTGAGAGTTTCGGTTTTCGGTAAGGAGACAATCTCCTCTGCCAAAGCTCTTGAGAGGTGTTCGCTTCTCTGTCGCTTCTCTGTTCGCCAGTTCCTCCACCTCCGAAAACCAATGAGACACTTCTTCGCCACAGATACCATCGCATTTGGAGGACTTGGCCTTCCGTTAAAGCTTGTCGAGAGGCGCTTTGCTGCCTCTTTGCGCCTTGATCGCAAAACTTCGTCCATGTGGATGCATTGCAGGAGGAGATCACGCACTGCGCGGTGGGTGTGAAGTGGTTCACGTACCTGTGCAAGCGCGACCTCGAGTCAGGGCACACTAACGAAGCGTATCGAGGGAACAATCGGTCCGTCTGTCGAGAAACAACTAGCGCGGGGGAAGTTTCGGCAACGGGACCAGCGGGAATTGCAGCAGCCGGTAGAGAGGAATTGGTTGGAAATCATGCTACTTCTCGAGAAGGACTGACGAAGTCCGGGGGGGGTTTTGTGCCGGAGGTCAGCCCAGACGGCGAGTCCGTGGCACGAGGATTGGAAGCTTGCACGCTGACGGAGCGGCATAAATGTGCTGACACGTGTCAAGCTGAGAAAGCAAGTTCTTTGGGGCCCGACACGTCTGGAAGGCCGCAAGCTCCTCTGGCACCTACGGGAGATAGTAATTCGTCTAGGGAGTCCCAAGCTGGTGAGACGGGCTCAGTGCGAGCCGAGAAAAACGTCGATGGTAAAGGCAGCACATTGCAGACAAGGATTCTGGGTGACGAGACTTCGCAAGTCGCAAAGGGGTCTGGTGACGGAGCGGTGTCCGGGGGCTCGGCGGACGTCCCGAGCGAGGCGGAGCTGAGGCGCTTTGTTGTCTCCAAGTTCCACGAAGTGGTGCGGAGGCACTTCAGGGGGCCACTAAAGGTGAGAAACAGTCCCCCCCTCAGGTTCTTTCTGAGACTGGGTAAACGTTGACGAAGAAGCTCGGCATACCCGTTGCTCGACTGAGCAGCTTTTGAATTGCTCACCCTAGGACAGTCGCCTTCCCAAAATCAGCGATTGCGAGTGTTGCGGAATACGTCAGGGGTAGAGTTGTTCCCAACGAAGTGCACACGCCTCGATGTTGCACTCTGATCCAGCGGGGACCCTCTCTCAAGTGCTTTGGAAACATAAATGTCGCAACCTTGCTGCCCTTGATTTTAAAGTCTCTTGCCCTTTTTCCGTACAGCCCCCGTTCAATCACTGGGCACGTGCCCAGGCGGGCTTCGACGAAGAGTGGTACTTGCCTCTTGCAAGCCCGGCCACTTAAGGACATACTGTACGAGAGAGGCCTTGTGGACGGTTAGGCATAAAAGTTTTCGAATTACCAAGATCCAACCAGCGACGGATCTGTGAACGGGGCCCTCGCTTTCGGGCACGTTGAAAACATGGCGCCGAAGTCTATGAAGCTGAGCATGGCACGCTTGAACTCCAACTAAAGGTCTCGCTATTACAAGGTCATGGCAATTCGGCTGACAGCGAACCAGCCGAGTGAGATCCGGTATTGCCGTCTTGATGCAAGACCGCACCATTGCTGTGCTTGCACAGTTTGCACGCAAAAGAAGAACTGTCTCTGCCACACCATAAGGAAGTCAATTCGCAGCCAAGTATAAGTTGAACTAAGATAAGCACATAGGTACATGTATGTAGTCGACCTGCCGGGCCCGGCGGCCCTGCACAATGCACAACGGCAGCCACATCTCGTCATTCTGGCAGGAGTGTTTACAGCAATCGTCCTGGCTTTTTGGTGCCAGGTGGCATAGTGCGGCTGGGTCGCAATCATTGAATCGACAACTTCCGACGTCTAATTTTATGGTAGGATCTGGCGGCTAGGCCCTCGCCGTATGCACCGTCATGCTAAGCTACTAAAATCACAACTATATTTCTCCATGGATTTTGGAACTCAATTCCAGTCGACGTACGGTTGCATGACACTGTTTCCATATCTCGAATATGCCCTGGTGTCATGCATGATCTTGCGCCTGCAGTCCAACCTGTTTACCATTGAGTAAAAGCATCAGTGCGAATGATGGTGAGCCTGTACGTACGTAATCTTATGCAACGGCGGGCAGGTGACTCAAAATGCCATTTTGTTATAGGCGGCCGGCCGGCGGCCTA